AAAGCACCCAAGAATGGATAAGAACAAAACGTTGGACTATTCTGAAGTGGCCTTCTATGAGTCCTGATCTGAATCCTATCGAACATCTATGGAAAGAGCTGAAACTTGCAGTCTGGAGAAGGCACCCATCAAACCTGAGACAGCTGGAGCAGTTTGCTCAGGAAGAGTGGGCCAAACTACCTGTTAACAGGTGCAGAGGTGTCATTGAGAGCTACAGAAAACGTTTGATTGCAGTGATTGCCTCTAAAGGTTGTGCAACAAAATATTAGGTTAGCGGTCCCATCATTTTTGTCCATGCCATTTTCATTTGTTTTATTATTTACAATATTATGTTGAATAAACAATCAAAAGAAAAGTCTGATTTCTATTAAATGTGGAATAAACAATGGTGGATGCCAATTACTTTTGTCAGTTTCAAGTTATTTCAGAGAAAATTGTGCATTCTTCGTTTTTTGTGGAGGGGTACCAACAAATTTGAGCACGTCTGTATTTTCTAATGAAAGCTGCTCTCTACACTAGAATGTCAGTATGTCAAAACCCTGAAACAACATTGAATACAAGTGTTATCCAGGTTTTGATCTTACTTGTGATATGATGTTTCCATGCAACATGAGAAACCTGGTTATTCATATTCCTGTATTCACGATAACTGATCATCTGAGCAGATGTGTCTTGATTTCTCACCATCTTGGTCACTAAGTTCTGTACCAACAAAGAATTTTCAGAAACCTGGATAAGGTGTTCACATGACACGTTATTTTGGTTTCTATTTTAGTAAGTTACTCCCAAGTAGCATTTCCATGTTTCACAAAACCAGGATCAGGACTTATCCTGGTTTCTGAAACCAGGATATGATGTATAGACGCATAACCGCAATATTTTAAAAAACCCAATCATAATCAGTATGTGTGCATGTAAATGCACTCATTGTTGCTGTGCTGGAATACTGCACAACCTGGTGTTTACTTCAGAGATTTTGAAACAGGTCTCCATACAGGATGGACATGGATAAACAAGGATTGGCTAAGAAGATTAGTTGGGACACTATTGATTTAAAGGTAAATTAGGCATGGACCAAACTCAAAAATGTACTCACTGCTCTCTGATAATGTAGAGTCTTAACCACTTTCAGAAGGCAGTTTTGAACAAATGTTTTGCCCTGGCAGACGGTAATAATAAACCTGTGCACAGAATTGAATGCTGAGGATCTGCTCAACATGTCCTTACCTTTTGGATATGTTATTAGTGTTCAGATAACTTTATTACAGACTTATTTTGAAAAGTTCACTCACTTTCACTTTGAACTGTTCTTCCCTGTTGTCAATGGTTTAGTAAAGATAAGATTTTTTTCCCTCAGAATAGTGAAAACTGGATTTGGATATAGCCTGGTGACTTTCTCGAATGCTGATGATGCTGCCGTAGCCGTGATTAAACTGAGTGGCAACAAAAGGATCCTCGTGGGTCTGTTCGAACCCAGAGAGGTCAGGGAGGCCCACAAGAATGAAAGATCAGAAAGTCTCCTACAAGATGGGTTCATGACACGACACGGAGAGAGACTACCCTCTCTGTTCGACACACTGTATCCACCAGCTTACATCCAGGTAATGGGACATTTGAACTGTGATTTTCTGCTATATCGTGTTTTTTGGTTGCCTAAAATAATTAAAGTAAAACTTTTGTCATCTCTGAGACTGCCACAGCTAGAGCACTAGAGCAGCAAGCCTGATCAAACAGTTTCCACATGTTCAAAACAACACAGAATAATATTAATAAATACCTGTATATCTGCAGAGTTGGACACTTTTTTGCAAAATGAATAAACTGAGCAACTTACTCAGAAGAAGCTGTAAAAAGATTTAAATTTTGTAACACACTAGTGTGTACTGAAGAGTAAAAACTTGGAGTTGTAGCCTGTGTTGTATTCAGTGATCTGGGAAATACACGGACACAGAGAGGGGAGATTTTCAAAATTAGATAACAATATTGATCATGATGACTCAGGATCTCACTATTGAAGTAACAATATTGTGGGTATGACCATATAGCAAATGTTTTAGACTTATGCTTGAATGTTTACTTTTAACAATAATCATAAACTTACTGTAATCTTAAATACAGGAATAATTTTGACAAGTTCGACATGTTGTCCTGTATACTGAATAACACTAAATGCTTGTGAACCGTGGAAGCTGCTCTTAGGGAAAAAACTCCAGAATCATAAAAACAAAGTATAGTATACTCTGAATGCTCTGAATGCTCTGTGCTAATAAGACCTGCATCAATTTGAGTTTTGTTAATCTTATTGAATAAATTATATATTTATTCAATCTGATTCGACATGATTGAATAAATATATATATATATATATATATTTATTCAATAAGATTAACAAAACTCAAATTGATGCAGGTCTTATTAGCACAGGTTAAGTCTTTATAGCATCTAATTCTCACCAGATGTTAATATACTGTTTTTTATATTGGACTTGAACACACTCAAACACATTTGCAAGTAAATACACACATACACAAAATTCACCTTCTAGGGGCTGTGGTCAGCCATATGCTGCACTTCTGCACATCAGCCACTAGATGGACCTCATGTTGTAGGTTAAAGCTAAAACATCTTATATTGCTTTGCAGCCAACCAGAATATTAGTTGGGTTTTTATCTTTGGGGTTTTACCTTTCTATTCATTCTTACTATTCATTCTGATTCATTTACCCTCCTCAGATGAAAACAACTGCAAATTCTATTTAAAAAGTATTACTTACAAGTAAATAAAAGGTAATTAACATTTTCATGTTATAGTTAGTGTGCCAGCAGATCATGTGTCTTTTTGTCATGCCTCTAATTCTACCATTTAACCTTATTTGCTTATTATTCTCATATATTAAATTTTCCCAGATGCCACTTCCAGTAAGTGACCTCTTTTCCATTCTATGTCCATTTTAATGTCTTATTATGTAGTTAAATCAAATCAAATCAATTGGTTTTGCAGGAGAACTTAGCTTATGAACTCTTAGAACTCCCCTACATGCTTACATTACATTACATCTAAAATGCGTTGATTTTTGTCTTTCGTTGTGAACTGCACATATGAGCAACCACATGTTTTCTTTGAAAAAATGTGTTTTCTACTTCATAAAGTGTTTACTGGTTAATAACTGAAATAATTTAGTAGGTTGTAGTTGTAGTTCTACAAATATGTCAAAGCAGCTCTCGAGGCAGAAATAAACTCACTGGTTGCATTAATCTTTTCTTACTTACACAAAGTGTGTGTGTGTGTGTGTGTGTGTGTGTGTGTGTGTGTGTGTGCGCGCGCGCGCACGCGTGTGTAGTGGTTTAGTTGAACTCTGGAGTGTTTACTCCCTTGGCTCAGTTCATTTGGTCAGGTGAGAGCATTTGAAATGAAGTAGCAGCAAACAACAAACAGAGTAAGACAGCAGAACATGTGAGTCTCAGCTCTCCTCCAAGAGAACAGTGTAACACCTCATTAGAGAGGTGAGAACAAACTGAACAAGCTAAAGTGAATAAGCTCAAAACATCAGGTTTTGTGTTGTTTCTATGTAATCCTCACATATCTCACCATACTGATGATGAACATTTTAAAATCCATCTGTCATAGATGTGCCAACTACACGTCTGATTCTACATGATTGAATTTCCCCTTGTGGGATTAATAAAGTATGTCTTCCTTTCGGAGGAAGTGAAGGTCGGCGGTTCAATCTCTGGCTCCCCCTGGTTGCGTGTCGAAGTGTCCTTGGGCAAGATACTGAACCCCGAATTGCCCCTGGCGGCTGTTCCGCCAGTGTATGAATGAGTGTGAATGTTAGTTTCCGTTTGAGCACTTCAGTGTATGAATGTGTATGACTGGTAAATGCAGATGTAGTGTAAAAGCGCTTTGAGTGGTCAAAAAGACTAGAAGGGCGCTATACAAATACGAAGCATTTACATTTACTTTCTTTCTTTTCTTTCTTGTTTTTCTCTCATGTTTACTTATCTTGTTTAACTTTCTGCTCTCTCTCTCTCTGTTTTTGTAATGGCTCTTTTTAGTTGTCCATCTCAAACTCTTCTGCCAGAACAGATATTCTTCTATTTTAGCTCTCTACATCGGTGGCTCTCACTTCATATGGCTGTATTATAGGCTGAATAGTACTCCCTATGAGGAGTTAACTGAACATGATGTGTAAAATTGGTTGAGTGCCCCTTTAACTCTGACCACAGACCTGCCCCAAAATTGCAAAACAAAATATGGTAATGCTTTAAAATACAGCTGCAAATTACAGTGTAATTAATTAGTACATATGGGGGGTCATGGGGGAAAAATACAGTATGTAGGTCCAAGGGAAGAACAATTTTTGTGGTTTGCCTATGAAGGTTTTAAAACACTGTTAGGGTAACAATACTGACATAGCATTGTAATTATTTATGATATAATTTATTTGAAAATGACTAAATGCTGACAGATTTTTTTAGTTTTATTAAATTACTTTTTAATAAGTTTTTAAACAAGGTGTATTTATTAATTACCTACAATATATAATGCATTGCTATTGGTAGTGGAGTTAGTTGCCCTGGGGCAATTGCCCGCTTTGCCGAGTTTATGGTCCAGCCATGGTGGTAATTGATTAAATTCTATCTGAATCAGTTCAGGTTATGATCTTTATATAAACAAGGAGAGAGTTTGTATAAACCAGAGTTGGTGTCGATTTATCGTACAAATAGCATGTAATCAATCAAACTACCTTATAACTATCATATCACAGCCTATCCCCACGCCTGTTTCCACATCTGCCTGTCTGCCATCTGCTCTGCACCTACTTAAATAATAGCTTGCAGCTGCAAAGGAAGGAGGGCAGGGTGGGGGTGTGTGTGGAAGGAAAAACCCAGAGGGGCGAGAGGTAAAGGGAGGGCAGGCAGACGGGTGAGGAGGGGAGGGGAGGAAGAAGGAAGGAGGGGGCGGTGAAAGCAGAGCTGTGATGCAGACAGCGAATCACATGAGCAGGGATCTGTTTACAAACTGAGGGCTGTAGACGAGAAGTAGAGAAGAGAGACGAGGAAGGAGAGAGGAGGAGAGTGAATGTGAGAGGAAAATACCGGAGAAAAGGGGAGAGCCTGGATCTGAATTAACATCAGCAGCATTGTCTTCCTGTGTTCTTTGTTCAGTACAGGAAGACAGGGGAAGATATGAGGCGCTGCTTTCCACAGAAACACTGAGGCTGCCTGCCTGCCTCTCTGCCTGCCTGGTCGCCTGGTTGGCTGGCCGTGCTGCCGGGAAACCCATCAATGTCCTTTCCTTTGTCTCTCCATAATTGGATACGGCAGGTTTTCACAGCCAGAGAGGAGGAAAGCAACATGGAAATCTAAAAGAAGAGGACAGAGGAGACAGAAGTGAGGAAGAGAGAAGAGAAAAGAAAAAAAGAGGAGGAAGGGAGGGAGAGACTCGTGACAATGTTTTGAAGGGGAGACAAAACAAAAAAGCAGGGACTGCGCTCGGCCAGAGGTACAAAGCCAGAGTGCTGGATGGGATTTGGAGTATATTTTCTCGTACTGTCTTTCTGTCTACAAGGCTCACAGGTTAATTTCCAACTGTTCGATTTGTCTTTTGGAGAATACACAAGGATACCTACATTTCTTTCTCTGATACATTCACAGTTCTTTGGGAGTCTACATCTCAATTAAAGTGGATGTTTGTATTGTGTTTTGGGGGGTAAATCATCACTGCAGACTAAGGTATCAATTGAGCAGCTTGTTATTTGAGTAATGTCTTCTTGAGGAACTGGGAGTCTCTGAACAGGTCTGCTTTAATTCTGCTTAATTCAGTGCACATCTGCTCTATCAACTATCAGTTTAAACTAGTTTGAACCTAAACAGTAGTGGACGTACAGGTCAAAGCTGTTCTTTTGTGGAAACCAGACTTTGTGATATTGAAGAGGTCACGACCCCAGAGATTTTTGGGTTTGCCAACCGGACATCTGCAGATTTGATGCATCCTGTCCAATGGTGTAACGGTAAGTGTCCTGGAGCCAGTTGCACAGTTTGTTTATTAATTTTAAACTTGGCCTAGTAATAACGTATGTCTTTGCTGGAGATTTACAAAGCAATTAAACAGTGTTTCACCACACAAACTAGTTATTTTGGTAGTACTTCACCTTCTAACGGGTGTCGCTGTTGGTGTACCCCATCGAGGCTCTATCTCAACACCCAAGACAGATCTTTTGCACTCGCCACACAATCAGGTGGGAGCATGAATGCCCAATGAAACACATGCATGCCATCGCTGGGCTCCTTGTTTTACTCAGCCAACTTTGGTACAGACACAGCATTCAGCGAAACCTTCCTCACTGTCCGTTGTTGTTGAGATGATCCTTCAAGCAAGTCCTGTTGAAATTTCTCTTTACCTGTTCAACCTGCTTGCTCCCTCTGCTTAGCCTGGTGCTGCGGAGGGAGGCAGCAGTGGCTAACTAGCCATGCCACTAGTACCACAAGATGACCAGCCTGTCTTTGAGGAAGTTCCTCTTCAACAACATTCAGCACACTTATGCTAACTGCTATGCTAGTACCGCTCAGGATACATCACTAGCTAGACAAGGTGGCCAGCTCTGCCTACTCCATGACTTGCTAGCATTTGCTAATCTGTCTTAGCACTAGCTAGCCCTGGCTTGGTCAACTGTGGTCAAGTTAATCTAGGCTTGTTTATATTTACTGCTGGCTGCGTTACTAGGTTTGCCTCCGAAAAAGATGCTTTGTGTCGCCTGGTGGCGTATGACACCTGCTAAATATTAGGCTTGTGCCGCTCAGGCTGTATCACTAGCTGATAATAGCTGGCTAGCTCTAGTGATGCTCGCTTTTCCCCCAACCTCTATCTCCCCGTCCCACATGCCTCATAAAGAGCTAACTAAGCACTTCCACAGTGCTACACTGATACACAGGCTGTTTCAGATGCATGTGATGTAGATAGCTACCATGCCATCCCACTTGTTGGGTGATAGGTCAGGTTCCTCAGTGATGGAGTTTATCACCAACATGTAGATTTACCTGTCCCCATACTGATGAGGAGCTGGCACAAGGCAACTTATTTTCTCCTCCTATTTCCATTATTAACCTCCACCTTCACTTGTGTTCCCTTACTGTGTCTGGCACACGGGTAACTGATGATAATTCTGCCCAGTTCCATGGTTACGGAAGTCTTCATCACCAAAGCTTGGCGTCCGTACTCCAGTTACTTTTCTCTCATACTAGAGAGGAAACAACAAGCTGTATTTTCCCTGTCATCAGTTGCCAAACTGAAGTTACAGCCAGCTACTATTTCTTATGTAGAGATGTGTTACTAAATATTCACACCCAATAACTAACAGGTTAAATATAATACTCATTCTAACCTGCATGAATACTACTGATTCTGAGACATACATATTTCTGCTTTTCTGCATTTAAGTAATACCTACATTTAAAAAGGATTAACTGGTTAAATATAATCTATTGTTTGCCCTCTTAAAACTGTTAAAAAGTAATATTACAGCTTATGATGCCACTGACTTCCTTTTAATGTCGTTTGATTGGACCACACTAAGCTACCAATTCACATATTACTAAAGGCTTTACTAGCTAAGTACTAGTTCATTTCTAAGTTTAGTAAATCACTACCTTGAAACTTAGGAAGGAAACTTTCCACACAAACTTGCCACTGGGTTTATAGTTGGCACAATCCTATCTTGGGTGAATTTTTAAACACAAACTTATGACATAACCAATAAGAACCATAATCACAATGTGTGTATTATGTGTTTTACCCTCAAATATATTCAAATAAACAACTGAGACCTCTAAAGGTTGTTTCTATGTAATCAGGTTCTATAATTATTCCAGCCCAAACACATAAAACCAAAGCTACTATTCCTTTTAACAGTGTTCAGGTACAGTCTTGTCAAGTTGCACAGTGGCCTACCTTTTTAGTACTCCACTATCAATGATTTACTAACATTGTGCTAAGATTAAAGCTGCCTCCTCCTTCACCCAAACCTCCTGTCGATCCCGTCCCTAAGACCCCCCACTGTACAACCGAAGACTGCACCCTTGGTCCATTAAAGAATTACTTTTGAACAAACTGGTCACCACCACAGTATAAGTTGTGGCACTGAACCTTACGAAAGAGTTACTGCGGTATAAGGCTGATCTGAGCCATGTGGAATGAGAACTGCCATGTCCCTCAGGCTGAAAACTTCTTTCTCCCTGAGCAGAGTAACTACTTTTGGGCCAAGAAGCAAGTGGAACACATTCCTGTGTGACGCAAGGATGGTTGTAAAAGTTCACATGAAAGTGCTTTGCAGTGTTGGAGTATAAACTGTAATTGTGTGTGAGGTTTCTTTTCTGAAATAGCCACTGAACATTATGAGGATAGCAAACACCAGTAGAAACCAAAATCTAAATTCTCCCTTAATAGACTCTTCTTCAGTAGCTTATTAAGCGCGATTCTGATTACTATGGATTTATGCCATAAAGATTTTACATTACATTACATTCATTTGGCAGACACTTTTGTCTATATAACTAATAACTAACCTACAAAAAATCCAAGTAAAAAGGTAAAGTAAACAAAAATGAGTTCCTGAACACAGATCTCTCCCCTTCTCCTAATTTCTCAATCACTCTATATTTAAATACAAAATTGGAAATTAGGCACCTCCATAGATGTTATTACACACATTTTACAACAGGGCTGTATAATGAAATAAAGTCTGTAGTTCCCTTTATGCCTCTCTCAAAAGCAAATGTCATACAGACGAAAATGAAAAAGATTATATACAGAAATAAAACTATTTTGCAGAGTCTCATAGCCTGGGGAAAGAAGCTGCTCTGCAGTCTGGTGGTGTCAATGGATACTTCTGTATCTCTTGCCAGATGGCAGCAGGATGATACTGTCTTTTAGTATCATCTACACATGCAACAATATCTCAATTTCACCCAAGTTGAAAAACTCCCCAGCTCAGAAATCACTACAGTGTAAGCAGTATTGCATTGCAATTTGAAACACAAGGCTTCATTGATGTGTGCCAGGCCTTGTACGTTACACAGATACCTATACCCCACATCCTTTCCATAGGAGTGGACACAGGGAAACTATGGGCAGGACCAGAAAGGTGATGTATGATGGCATATATTTGTCATGAAGACCTGTGTTGACCATGGAAATACACAGGCAAGACCATGATGGAGATGAGTGGGCTAATATCCCAAGTCAGAATCAGAATCACTCTTAATGGCCTGGCACATGTACACATACGAGGAATCTGAGTCCGGTCTTGCATAGCTGTCAGTGTACATACACAGAACAAGGATAAACAAACAGGACGACAAGCTAAACGAGAACACACAAACTACAGTGTACACATACATCCTAACAAAACAACATTTGTAGACATGCTCCTCTAAGAGGTAAAGGGTTTATTGTAAGAAGAAGAAGATACACAGTTCTACATGCAAACTTGTTTTACTATCCATCTGGGGGCAATTAATTATGTAATTTATTTGAAACTTAATCTTGTGCTGCATTCCAGACAACTCGAAACTCAAAAATTTGGAACCTCCTACAAGAAAAACTTTAATGGAATGGAGTTCCTACTTGTAAACTTGGCAAATCCATCTACCCCGACTTGATGAAAAAGTTGGGGTAGAAGTAGGGGTCAGTTGTCTGATGTTACACCACCATGGCAGCATCCAGCTTTTTAGCTGAAAACAGCTGCCTATTGTGGCAGGAAAGAAGGTTGAGGAGAGTGGTGAGACTAAACCAAAACAGTAAAGTTGTACGACTGAGTCATAAGAATCTCTAACCTGAACCTAAACTGATTCTAACCTTAGCAAATAAGGTGAAAGGCTACAATAAACTGTCAAAGTATTGGACGACCAGCTTTTTGGTTTCTAAGTTGGTCTCCGCAACAAGAATCAGGTTTGGAGAAATTGAAGAATATCACATTCAAATTGTCAAATAATCACATCCATTCACGAATGAATGAATGAATGAATGAATGAATGAATGAATGAATGTGATTATTAAAGAAATAAAGCATGGCTGCTCACCCACACTTTTACAAGTGTTGCAAACCATTTGTGCTAACATCATTCTAAGCAATAAACGACGCGGCTAAATCTCTTAGTGCTTTCAGATGAATTCAGTCTTTAAATGCCATGTGTAAAACACTCTCAGTCATACAAATTTTCTTTGTCATTTCTTCTGAGTTTCTAAATGCCACATGATGTAGGCTTCATTCTTTACTTGGGGGTTTACTGACTGTAGCTTGTTTACTGTGGCTACTCATGTTTAGAAAATGACGTGTTCATATATTTTCTAAAAGCCTGAAAACATGAATGCATATTGCATGGGAGCCTTGTTCTTTGTGTGGAGACAAAGTTGGCTCAGAACACAGTTGATTTAGATGCACATACTGGCCAATACCAACCTTTCATGAATATATTATATGTTGATGTGATGGATAAGTTGCAGTTTCATAACTAGTTGTATGTATTGTCAAAATTGTCAGTACTTCGCCGTCTGTAGGAAGTTTGAATTGAACTTTGATCCGCTCCCACACAAATAGGCTTTAATATTTGTGCTGATATAAATGCAGATAGTTCAGAATGCCTTTTTCTAAATGATGTTTCAGAGGCTTTTCACACTGACAGGAAATGTTGCATTCTCTTTTTATAAAACCATCTGGGATTGCTGGGATACTGATGCACGATACTTCTGTGCAATGTTATTTCCTGTGTGCCGTCCTCTCAGGGTGTCTGTGTGACCTTGGATTGCAGAACGTCGACCCCTACTGCAAGATGACATCTGAAGAGTTCTTCCACCTGCCGCTCAACGTCTATATCATCATCCTGGGCATTGGCCTCTTCATCCTCATGCTCAGCCTCATCTTTTGCTGCTACCTGTTCAGGTACAAGACAACTCCTTGCATACAATATGGGTGTTGTTTCTTCTTGTAGAAGGAACTGCACGAACTTTAACTGAACAAGACCATAAGCATACAACCAACTTACTAAGTGGCTCGTAAATCACGAAATAGCGTAGGACAGTTTAGGACAGTTTACACCCTTCAGTCACTGGGGGAATATATTTTCAACCCGAATACAGTATGTGACAACAAAGTCAGTGGTCTTATTTCCTAGCAGTAAGCGAATGTTTCATCCATGGCTGGACTATTTAAAGAGGTCTCATTGTATTACAAGGTGCATTGTCTGTTCGACAAATCAAGTGAATGCTCCTTAAGGAAATTAAAGACAGTTTGGGCTTTTTTTTGGGTCAGTTTACAGCAGTCAACTTCCTGAATTTCTGGAAAAAGCTATTCAAAGTTTTACCTTTGCTGAGGACACACATTTATTTCTCTGCCAGAAAGATATCTGTAAAACCCTAATAGACTGTGGGGCTAAGTAGAGTTTGTAGATTCTTTTAGTGATGGAAAAGGTGTATTTAAAAACATGTAAAGCCACCAAAGTTGCCTTGAAGGCATGTAAAATCAGTCATTATCAAGAAGGTTTCAAACTTGAAAATGTAATTCAATTACAAGTACCGTTTTACCGGTTCACTGAGCCCTAAATAACAGTAATCTATTTATGCTTTCAGCAACGTCTGCTCAACTCAAACAGAATTTCAGTCAGAATCCTTATACAAGGACACATTCTTGAAAGTGTTACAGATCTGCTTATGGTAAGTGCAGATGTACAGGCTGTTACTTGAATCTGGCATTGTGTAAATTCCAGGACTGCTTGAAGCAGAATCTCAGCTGATTCATACAGCATGACAAGACATGTCCCGAGGAAGACTGATATTGAGCCACCAGACACAGAATCTTTATCTTTATGACTCTAAATTACAGCATGTTTTTTTGTGCTTCACAGACTCAGGCAACAAGGTGCAAGAGAACAGTACGGTTACAACGAGGTAATATGTTAATACTATGACAGTTGGACTACTGTCCAATGTCCAGTTGGACTACTGTCCAATTGTAATTCAGATCATGTGCTTTTTTGTCTGGTGAACTATATGCGTTTTGTCACAAATCCATTCTTGTCAACAGGTTGTTTTGAGAGGAACGGGGAAGAAACTGAGCCTTCTTGGTGTAAGTTGAATACAGGATGAGCACTGTTATAAAACGGTCTAAAGGAAAGGAGATGACCAATGCAAATGAGATGAAATGAATGTGGAAATCATACTGAAGCAGTTTAGTGAATCTAGTGTTTAAAAGATATACCATTTAAGTTATGGCGACAAATTTACTGCTGAAAACGGAGAGCAAATCTGCCAATTAAAGGCAGGTGAAAATCCTCACTATGAGAAAAAAATGTTAGAACAACACAGAGCTAACAGGCAAACATTTTCAGTGAATTATGTGAAAATCTTCAATTTATGAATATTTATTTTACTTTAGCCCCAACTGTCTGTTTCTGTAAGGCTGCTGAAATGAACCCATTAGCTTGTGACATTTTGCTTAGCTAGACACAGCAGCTATGCCCCGGTATATACACTGTTGCAGTCTTGTGACAGTTCTTAGGGCTGTCATACAAGCTATGTCCCAAATTCATAATACATAATATACATATACACACAATAATTGTGACCAGGTTTTGGAAAAAGTGAGAAAACTGAGTGTACTCAAAGATGTCAGTCTGCAGACTAAATTAGCTTAATTTCAGAAAGTGGTGTTGTCCCACAAGTCACACAACAGAAAGAGTGGATCTGCTCACATGTCGCAAAAATCTGTAAACTGTGTGAGCTGCCAGAAGATCTCCAAAAAACACTTTAGGGCTATCATTTTGCTTTCTTATTGTTAAACTACCAAATTTGACATTGGCAGGATAGGCTAATTTGAAATGTCTGTGTGCTTTTCCATCATTACCTGGATGTTGAAAAGGGTTTATTTCTTCAAATGCAAAAATAGAATATTGTTAGTATATATATATATATATATATATGTACAGTATGAACAAGGGGTTATGGCAGTGATCAAATTATTTCAGTGCAGTCATGCAAAGCTATATTGGTGATTATTTTAGCAAAGAATTATACAGCAGTAGCTATTGAATGGATGCATTATTGTTCTGACTATAAATGCTGAATACTGAAATGAGGAGTTAGGGTAGTGCTTGTATCAGGATATTCTGTATTAAATAGTTAAGTTGTCAGGAATACTGGTTATGTATTGATTTCATAATCTGTCATTTCCCCTTTTCAGCAAACATGTGCGGTGTGTTTAGAAGAGTTTCGCAGCAGAGATGAGCTTGGAGTGTGCCCATGTTCCCATGCTTTTCACAAGAAGTAAGTTCTGCAGCCGTGCCTGATAATGATCAGACTTCCATGAGATTGGACAGTTGACTCCACATTTACCAACATGTTCGAATGCAAAAACTCCAGACAGATTCATTTGTTTAGCTGTTTCACAAATTGGTAATGATGCAGCAAATTTTTGTTGACTCGTCCATCATGTTTGACACCTAATCAGTTTGAAATCATGGAATAACACTTTTGGAACAGCCATTTTATCTGTATCTTTCAGTGGCTCCATGGGCCTCACTTTTAAAACCCCTAAATGTTATCCTGGCCTTTATTTATAAGACTTCTTGATGAATTAAATGTTGGCTAACCAGTTTAAAGGAATGATTCAACTTCTTGATGGATTCAAGTTAAACAGCTGAAGCAGTCAGAGAAATTCAGAAAACATGGTGAGCGAAGCCAAAAATGACACAAATTCCTGACAACATATGTCCTTGCATGTTTGAACATGAGCATGCTTTATGCAACTGAGACCTGTTTTTGCCTTGCAGTGTAGGTGTGACATTTCTTTTAGATCAGTTGCTTAACTTTCTGACTGTGTTAATGCACCGTATGTCTGTTCAGTCCTTTGTTTTAACTTCTGTTTCTTGTCTCGATACCTTAAGTTTCTACCTAGACCCACCTACATACCTTTGCATACTCTGTCTTCCTTTGAAACTACAAAACGAGATAATATTTCTCACATCTGCTTTTCTCAGGTGTCTGCTGAAATGGTTAGAGATCCGCAGCGTCTGCCCCATGTGCAACAAGCCCATTTGTCGCCTCCAGCCTGACCCCCCACAAGCACCTGAGCGGCCACAGAGTCTCCTGGAGGTCTGAGAGGAGAACATATTTTCCAGCAGCACCTCATGCTGTCCAGTCAATTGACACCTGTCATTAAAGAGAGTCCCGTTTCACTGTCCAACAGATTGTAGTTTTAGAAATTCAAACATTTTTTGAGGCAGAGCTACTTATATTATTGTTAAACCGTAAGTGCAGAGCCAAATAACCTCCCTGGCAAACTATATGGGGGAAGACTGAGAACACTGAGACAGAGGTGGTAATGCTAATGACTCTTACTTGATATGGCATTCATGATAGCAGATTAAGGCTAGCTATCAGACCTAGAAACTGCAATTTTAAGTACGTAGTCCAATCCTTAAACTAATGGACAAGTGCCTTAAAGACCTCTAAAGGCCACTGAAAAATAACTTTAAGATTCAAGATTGGTTGTCAGCTAGCTAATTTCACTTGCGTGTATTGGTGACAATCTTTAATTTTGTTTTGTTCGGAAGATAAAGGCTAAAAGAGAGCTGTGTTTGCTTGACAGGCAGGTTTTGTCGTTTCATTTGACTTTAATATTAAGAGAACAAAGCAAAAGAACATTTACAGGAATTTACTTAAAAGAGTAAAATGAGCGCACTATACACTGCCCTCAGCAATTCTCACAATAGAATGAAAAAATAATCGTCTATATCATGTACATTACCTTTTGCTAAAAAAAATACCACAATGCAATGCTTCACGTATGCTAAATGCATATTTGATTATTTTTTAATTGTGATTATGAGAGACTACATCTGTCAGCAATAAGTGTGCAAAATCCCAGTTTATTCCACTATACAGATAAATTATTTAGGAAACAGCGAATGAGTGAACAATTGTGTAAAAAAAAAAGTTACAGCGCCATGTGTGACATCCAGACAACTGTATTTACCATTATCATCAACATCTTAGCATTATCACCATCATCAGATTGTGCAGATACCAGCTAGCTGGGAAGTGTTCAAAATCCTTATTTGAGAGGCAAGTTGGGTCAGACAAGACACTAGCTTTCATGAGTCTAACACATCTGTGAAACCCAAACAGTTGTGCTGGTCCCTCGGTGTGTTGAGGTTACTGCTGTAACCCAACTGATATAGGATTATGTCTGCCTCCAGTCCAGCTCTGCCTCAGAGAAATGTTTCTATGACAAACTCCAGTCTGCTCGTTTTCAGTTAAAAAATGAAATAAAAATGACATGCAGCGCCACATGGGTATGTCGTGTCTTTCACCATGACATAAGAGCCCGGCGCTTGGAAAGAAGACGATTCAACCACCAGACACCAGCTTTGAAGACGTCAGAACCTCCTTCGGCTGATCGTTGCTCCAAATTTGATGGCAAATACAGAACCTGTGATGAAATATGTGCAAGTTGTGCAAAACAGGAAAACTGTGAACTGACAAGAATCAGGGGTGTGTGTATTTTGGCTGTAATCTTCCATTGCTTCAATCAGCTCCATCCTACAGTGTGTTGCCAAAACTGAGTGAAGGTAGCAAAGCCCTAAATGTCAAGACAGTTGAGTCATATGGGATCTGAGATAAAGACAACAACATGATGTCACATGCCTGTTTAGCCACAACAAGGGTCCTAAGTGACTCAACCACTGAAATAACCTATATACATGGTTTTAAAGTTATTTCTAATTAACTGTTTTGTATCATATCTGGCTTCCAGTGAAATGTATTGTGTATACGTGATGCTAAAACACTTGGACTGTCATTTGTGAAATAGCTGGATGTCATCGTTGAAAGCAGTGGGACAGAACTGAACCAAGCGTTCTTCGAAGAAATCTTAGCTCCCAATGTCTAAGAACTGCTCTGTACTGTAGTGATATAAATAGACACACTGCACTGATATGAAGAGCCTGTTTGAGCTGGTTTCTTGTCTGACTGAGGTGCACCATAAACATCATTCTCTGTTTGTACTGTGTAAATTGTAAATGCTTTTAAATTTTCTGACTTTAGGAAAAAAAAATATAACCAGTGTTTCAATAAGGTTATTTGAATCCAAGTAATTTTTTTTTTCTAGCGTTGCTACATGTTGACACTTTAAACTGTTTATTTGTATATTGTCATTATAATATATGGGAACATTATAAAAATGTGCTGTTGGGGCCCTATCTTTGTTTTTGGAGGTTATGGTTGATCTTACCAACTGTGTGTATGTGACTGAAAGGTTTCCACCAATAATGTGCCATCTCTGATATATAAATGTGCCTGAAATAGTTTGTTGATGTTTATCTTCTAATGAAATTCCAGCAGGCTGTATGCTGTGAGATGTAATGCTGCCCTCTACGGTCAATTGCGTGCCGTTTTCATTTTAGAGTTCTTAGCCATAGTAACGCGGCGGAAGGGATTTCATTGTCTGTCAGCTAACCACTCTGGTCCGGACTGAACAACTACTCTCACATCACCAGGCTCTCCACAGCTGCTTAGTAATATGTCAAAATGCCATAACATTTAGCGCCACTATGAGGTTAACATTTTTGTTTTTTAGTGAAATGACTTGACAACCTTTTGATGGATTGGCATGAAATTTTCATTTTCCTCTCAAGATGAATTGTAATAACTTTGTTGATTTCCTCTAGCACCATCATCAGGTCAAATTAATACTTTACATAATGCTATATGACCTAATACCTTCAAAACTAAAGACATTCATCAGCCTCAGTTCCATTTGTACCTGCTAACACGCTGAGCTAAGACGCTGAACACGGTAAACATTATAGCTGCTAAACATAAGCATGTTAGCACGCTGAGATTAGCATTTAGCTCAAGGCAATGCTGTGCCTCATTAGTGCGGCTGCAGACTCATGTTGGGAGTGTAAATAATCCTTTAACCCCTGAGTGTCTCGGCACCCACAGCCACACCATCTTGTCCAAGACCGATGATTCCTACAAGCAGTTTTATAAAGGTTGACTTCTTCTCCCTTCTTGTGAAAGTTTCCAGTTATCCCACATCGGACTCTTAAATTCCCAATTTATTCCACCTCATTCTCAATGGGGCTTCTCCAATTCCCACTAGAAAAGTAGAAAAATAGCTTTGAGTGTCTGTATCAGTAAATTATTACACATCTAGTCATGAAGTCCCTAGAACAACTAACTACAAAATGATCTTGCAGGTACAGTCTGATGATGTACATGACTGGAAACCACACACAAACACAGACGACACAAAGCTATTATGCAGTGTGCAGGTGTCTGGAAATTCCCTGTACAGGCATGACATCAGGATATTTGCACAATAACACACCAAGTGTGTCATGAAAGGTTTTCAAGGATGCTGATCTTCCATTATTGACACTGACTAACTGCAAGACTTGCAAAAACACTTGAAACATTAAGAGGCAGAAATCTCATTTGTCTCCCAAAAACACAGCAGTACTACACACATTCAGAATCCCACAAAGAAGTCCTAGATATCAGTGAGCTTTAAGTGTTTTGCACATAAACATCCTGATTACACCAAGTGGTGGGTATGTTTAGAGGATGAAGAGGATTATCATGAATGGAAATGACTGATCCTTCACTGCAAACATCTCTCTTTGAACCGCTCAGGTTCAAGGCAAGACAAGTTTATTTGTATAGCACATTTCAACAACAAGGCAATTCAAAGTGCTTTACAAAAAACATTAAGGGCATCAAGACAAAATGTAAAAGCATTAGGCTATAAAAACATTTAAATATAAAGAAAAGATAAAAATATAAATAAATGTTGCAGTGCAGTGTAAGAAATTAAAAGCCTTGATTTAGTAGAAGTTCAGAATTTTATTTTGGCCCTAAACCAGTCAAATTATTTTAAAATAAATTATTTGACAGACTGGAAGCCAGTGTAAAGACCTCAGCATTGGAGTGATGTGAACCACTTTTTTGGTCTTAGAGAGGACGACTCGAGCAGCAGCATTCTGAATAAGTTGCAGCTGTCTGATCGATTTTTTTTTGAGATACCCGTAAAGACAACGTTACAGTATTCGAGTCAACTAAAGATAAATGCATGGACAAGTTTTCCCAAATCCTACTGAGACACAAGTCCTTTAAAGGTCACCTATTATGCTTTGCCCTATTTTCTATTTTATATATATATATAATAATTGTCATGGGTGGCTGAGCGCAATCTAGGTGCAAATGCAGACAATACGAGAGTAGGTTGCAGTTCAGAAAATATTTATTAACACAAAAACTTATCTGAAACAGGCTTCCACGGGAGCTCAAGGCTAGAGTCCAAACAAAGGTAACTCCAACAGAAACATAATCCACAGTGAAAATCCAAAAGCAAGGAACAAAGTGTTTTACTAAACTAATTCAATGGGTAGATCCAAAAACACGGAGAACAGAACACAGGAGAACACTCAACAAAGACGAGGACGTCCCAATGACTGAACAGAACTAAGAACAGTATATACAGGGGCACACCACACACACACAAGCAGGTATAGGGCAATTAAACACAGGTGAAACATGAGCAATCAAACAACAGGAAACAAAGCTAGACAAGCACACATGAGAACTGAACACTACAAAATAAAATGGGAAGTAAATCAAATGGGAAGACACCAGGACAGAGTTACCAAAGTAAAACAGAAAACGTGGAACAACTACATAACAGAACAAAACTAGGGCAGGGAACAGAGACAGGACCAAACAGGAAAAAAACACTACACTAACATGGAGACATAGGACTAAGGACTAAGGACTAAGACACAGACACAAGGAGAGAACAGACAGGGCACAGCGTTCAGAGGGGGAGCAGACAGAAACTAACTACAGCCAAACAGAGAAACAGACAGAGACTAGGATGAAGCAGAACACATGGTAGACAAGACCAAAATAATAAAACACAGAAGTACACAGACCAGGAATAACACTAAATTTAGTTTTCTTTGTTTAATTGAATTCTGGCACATCCAATTGTTGATTTGTTCAATGCACTTACTCAGGGCTTGTATGGGATTTTAGTCCCCTGGTTATGTAAATTTGTGTGTCGTCTGCATAATTATGGTAATGTATTTTGTTGGTTTCCTTAATCTGAGTCGGTAGATATTGAACAGAAGAGGCCCAAGAATGGAGCCATGTGGAACTCCTCAGGTAATTTTTGTCACTTATATGTAATTACTTATATCAAACCAGTTTAGTAGCTACTGTGCCAGAAAGACTCAGCTTTCCAGTTGGTTTAGTAATATGTTTTGGTTGACCGTGTTGAATGCAGCACTGAGATCCAATAATACCAAGACTGAAATTCTGCCACTGTGTTTAAGTGGATGTCACTGAAGACCGTAATGAGAGCAGTCTCAGTGCTGCGGTGTGGTTGAAATCCTAACTGGATAACTTAAAAACGAGAGGTTTGATATGGGTCTGTAATTGCTCATTAGTGATGAGTCTTAATTAGGGCTGTCCCTGACGAAGGATTTACATATTCGAATCAGAATTGTAAATGATTGCCTATAATTGATTGATAGTCAAATCATTTGACAATGTAACTTACACTGTACATTTCCAGCTAAACTGAAGCTTTTTGTTGACCATTTTCTCTCTCTTTCTCTACTTTGCTCGCCTGCCATTCACTGGTCTTGTGCAGAGTTCAGCATATTGCCCACAGCTACCTGCACGTTGAGGTTCCTCGCAGGGCTATTCCAAGTACTCTTTGTGTAGTTTATCAGTGGTGATGGTCCTTGTTTCATAATGCCTCAGGGAAGATCTGAGTCGAATCAAGCTCCGCCAAGTCATTTTTTGATCCCGTTTGAATTATGCTCTGAATTACAAATATGATGATGGCCAATACTAAAATATACATTTAAAGTCAAGAAAGTTGCAGTTTGATGTAAAACTGTTGAAGTATAAGACTGTGATAATATGTGACGTCGTAACTTTTTCTCTCAGGTACTGAAGCTAGCGTTACTGAAGCTAATATCAAAGAACTTACATGAGAGGATGATGTGATGAAAGGACTGAGAGTCGTTGGATTAAACACATCAGGTGAGATATACTTCTATGTAGAACATAGCTAAGTTATCTAGCTAGCAGCAACTAAGCAATGAACCTTAGCTAGCATTACTGCGTTAACATGTTGGTGACATATTGTGCAAGACGAGAGATGTAGTTCATTGAACGGTTTTCACACAAAACGACATGTAACTTTACTGTTTTACAACAAACTGCAACTTTCTTGACGGACAAAATTATTTTTTAAATGGACAAACATCATATGTGTAATTCAGGGCACAGTTCAAACAGGATCAAAAAATAAGTTGTCTCTCACCATTCCGAAGTAAGATCCCACGGGCCGGAAGCGGAAGCAAGTGGCTCTCTATTCGGGGTCACCCATCTAGATTTTTCTTACTGTGAGAAGAAATCTGAGAGATGAGTGTTTACAATTTGTAGAAGGTCTGAGGCCATGAAATTAGAAACATTTTTGAAAAGGGTTGTTGGCAGAATATCAAGGCAGCAGGAGGATTTCAGATGTTGTGTCCTCCAGGTTTTTATGGTTTATAGAATCAAATTGTGTTATGCTATTTGAATTGATTTTAAGTGGACACAGGGACAACACATATCCTGTAACTGATATGGATGTATTGAATGTCTAATTTCCTGATTTCTTTCAGTGAACAAGGAGGTAAATTCATTGGTGGATAGAAGTTCAGAGGCTGATGATGTCAGGCCTTGCATTTCTCAGTTCTAAATTGTAAATGCTTAGTCTCTCTTCATAAAAGTCATAATGAACCTGGATATTTGATTTTCACTACGTGAGTTCAGCTTTTCGACATTCTCCCTTTTCTATTCTTACCAGCATAGCATTTCCTTTTTTTTTCTTCTTCTTTTTTTTTTTACCAGAGACCACCTTTACCTTAGTGGGTACAATGGCATCATGAACGTTTGTAATTTCACAAGTCATCAGTTTCATTTATAGAGCCCCAAATCACAAATTTACTTCAAGGGGCTTTACAGCCTGGACATATACGATACATTCCTATCCTTAGGCCCTCAATTCAGATAAGGAAAAACTCTCCAAAAAACCCTTTAAGCAGGGACAAAGACCTAAGCCACACAGCCTCCTCTCCATCCCTGGAAAGGGGACAGACTACACATACATACAAGAGGCAGAACACAGACAGGAGAAAGCAAACAAACACACAGAGGGAAAAAAGGAGACAAGGACTACATGCACCAAAGGGAGAGAGGGTGACAAGAGGGGAGTCTCCTTGAGGACGAAGATCCAGATCCAAAACATCTG